TAGATCCAAGATGTCACCATGAGGATCAAAATCTAGAGCGGCATTGAATTGCTCTAAGGAGAGGTCGAAGAAGCTGTTAAAAATTTGGAATTGAACTCTATATTGACCCTCTACAGGAACTATCTCAACCGAAGCAAAGAATTCGAGAGTGGGCTCAACATAGGTGCGGTAGCTACGGGAGATGAATGTGCCTATTCGTAGATTGATCAACAACTCCCTTACATCCTCATCAATCCCCAATGCGGACATGTCGGATTGAAAGTAGTGTCTTGTGGGTTTGAGGGAGCGGTTTTCATTTAGTTTATGGTACCGGTTCTTGTGTTTTTTATCATTGAATTTTTATTTGGGTGGTGGAGTAGGGATACGTTTTGGGAGGAGTAGGGATACCCTAGTCAAGCAATGTGAGGGAAAATCAATCATGCAACCAAAAGAGCATATCAAGCTATTCTCCTAGAGGTCTAACTAGCGTCAACTACGATAAACTCTAGCTAGGAAACATCACAAGACACCTCAATCGTGTAAATGCAAGCCACAAATCAATGGTTCGTATCAATGTGAACTTACAATGCAATCTAGTGCAACAATCAAAGTTAGATACTCTTTAATTAATCACACACATGCACATGATCATCAACCAATTTAATCACATAGTCAACTCCATCAATTCTCCCCAATTAGCTTTAATCCATTACTCATACATGCTTCACCATTACCCTAGCAAGCTATATACTCACTAGCCATTGAAATCAAAATCAAAACAACACTAAGCAACAAATTCATCATGATCAAATCAAACAAGCTAAAATCAAACACAAAACAATCAATCTTCAATCAAACTTGAACATTCAACAAACAATTGAAATCAAACTAAAGATCAAACTAAAGATTGAATTAAAGAAAAGGAAATCTTACAATCTCGATCAAAGATCTTAGGAATTAAAGAAAGCTTCAATCATCAACAATCCACCATGAATTTCTCTCACTAAAACCTAGAGTTTCTCTATCTAAAAATCTCTCTAATTTTCATCAAAAACTAATTCTAATTCTGTTCTCATTCTCTCCCTCCTAAAATAGAAGGAAAAATTATATATAGGAAAGATACAAAAGAAGAGTTAGTTAGATTGTCCCAAAAGAAACCCCGGAAGGCGCGGTCGCATCAGAGGAGAGATGCGGCCGCTGAAAAAAGGGTACGGAACAGGGGCCCTGGCAGGCGCGCCTGCAGTCGCACTAGGCGCGCCCGCGCCACCCTGGTTCGCGGCCACACCACCCTCGTGCGCGCTCGCACCTGGCAGCAGGGGAGCCCCCTCTTTCTTCGTCCAAGCTCATCCTTGTGGGCTCGACTTTATGATGATGATGAAAACCAAGGTGGGCAGTCTTGAGAGGGCCATTTTGGTGGGTTCATGGCAAATATGACGCCCCCACCGCATACGGGCACCGATCTCTTGACTTGCTCTTTGCGTTCCTTCACTTTTGAAGTTCCAAAAGGCGAAAATGAGGCATCCAAGTTGATGAGAGGAAGGCTCGGGAATCCTTAGAGACACGATCATAACCTAAAAAGAAACTAAAACAAACAAATAAAAGGGAAAAAGAACAAATAAACAAAGAAATGCACAAAATAAGGAAACTAACTATGGAAAGCACAAACTAACGAAATAAAGAACAAAATTAAGGAAAAGGGCTAATAAGAAGCATGAAAATCATCCTAAAAGAGGCTAAATGAGTGCCATAAATGACACTCATCACTGTGGTGAAGACGTAATCTATGAATCTCCGGAAGGAGACAAATGTGATTATGTACTACGGTTAAAATTTCAGGCCTCAAACAATGAGGCGGAGTACGAAGCGCTTCTAGCTGGAATCCGCATGTGTAAGGCAGCAGGGGCAACCAAAGTTGACGCCAATTCTGATTCTCAATTGGTCGTTAGCCAGTACAAAGGTACATATGAAGCTACCCATCCGGCAATGATCAAATATCTTCAGGCGGTCAAAGAAGAGGCTGGGACACTCAAAGGGTTCACTTTGAGCCAAGTGCCCAGGTCCGACAACAACCAGGCGGAGGCCTTGTCCAAATTAGCCTCCTCCGCCTGTTGTGATACGTCTCGGTCAGTCTTTTGGGAAGTTTTTGAAAAAAGAAGCATATATGAAGAGCCCATTGGAATTCTGGTCCGAAGCTCTACCTGGATGGATGGCATCTAGGCTTTCGTAATAGACGGCACGCTCCCTGATTCGCCACAAGAGGCAGCCGTCATGAAAAAGAGAGTGGCAAACTTTGAGATGAGAAACGGAGAACTCTTCAAGGCGGTGTTTCTAAAGCCTCTTCTGAAGTGTGTTACCCTAGAATAGGGGAATAAAGTTATCGAAGAATTGCATGCGGGGTACTGCTCCTCCCACATAAGCGGCAAATCCCTAACCGTCAGAACCAGGCGACACTACTTCTGGCCTACCCTTGAGGCAGACGCCAAAGAGCTGGTGAAGAAATGTGACAAGTGTTAGAAATTTAGCAAACTTATTCACCGCCCGGCTACCGATCTGACGACCATCCACAGCCCAGTCCCGTTTGCAAAATGGGGCATGGACATTTTAGGTCCTTATACGCCTGCGCCAGGTGGAAAACGCTACATTCTAGTGGCTGTGGATTACTTCACCAAATGGGTAGAGGCGGAGGAGATCAAGAACATCAAGACAAAGGATGTCATTTTATTCATCTGGAAGAACATCATCACCCGGTTTGGGGTTCTTATGTCTATGGTGTTTGATAATGGCCCTCAGTTTGAAACGCCTCAGCTCGAGACTTGGTTGGAGGATTAAGGGATCTCAAACTATTTTGCATCAGTCAACCGACCACAAGGAAATGGCCAAGTTGAAGCCTTCAACAAACTCATCTCAGACGGCATAAAAAAGAAAATTAAAAGGGTCGGTGGCTTTTGGGAAGAAGAGTTGATTCATGTCCTATGGGCCATCCGGACAACACCCAAAGGGGCAACCGCTGAAACCCCATTTCTCATGGTTTACGGTGCTGAATCCGTCTTGCCCATCGAACATTACGAGCCTACTCTCAGAGTCAAACCTTATTATGAAGAGGCAAATTGGGAGGCCATGCGTCTGGTATTGGACTTTCTCCCAGAGCTTAGGGGCAATGCCGCCTTGCGTCATGAGATATACCGTCTGAGAATGACAAGAGCCTACAACAAGAAAGTGCACAAGCGCCCTTTGAAAGTTGGCGACTTCGTGTTACGAAAAATGGAGGCAACCGGTAGGGCCAATGAGTTTGGAAAGCAGACTCCAAATTGGGAAGGCCCCAACCGGATCTATGAGGAAATTAGAGACGGCACCTACTGCTTGGAACCCCCATACGGTAGGCACCTGCCTAGGAATTGGAATGTAGACAATTTGAAAAAGTACTACTTATGAGTTGTAAAATTTTGTAAGCAAAAAGTCTATTAATGAGAAATCGCTTTTTGTTTTCAGTTATGTTTTTTCCTTTTTCAAGCTTTAAGGCCGTCTGGGAAATACACAGACGGCCCAATTGTTGAACTCTCTAAGTTTAAAACTTAGTAGACAATTCAACATTCGTTTCACATGAGGCCACTGGCCAGATAACTAAATTAGGCACAAAACCGCTTAGTGGCTATACAACCGGTCTCCACCTAGACTAGAGGCCAATGGCCGGATGGTTGTTTATTATATTAAATCGCCTGTCCCAACATGGACAAAGGCGTCCGGCGATACCCCTCCGGGTGCGATTGTCGCAGAGAGCAGCCTACCTGTTTGCTCTACGTACCTCTGAAGACGGCAAAGATTGAATGACTAAATTGGTCAATTCATAGCCGCCTGACCAGAACAGTTTAAAGAACGATTAAGTTTTGAAATACCGAATGTCCCAAGACATCAGTCGGTGACCGACCGAGGTTCTTATGCTTTTCATTCCAAAGTTGCACAGACTCTCCCATTAGGGAAAAAAAGGGGTTGTGCAACGGCTACGTAATCGTCTTTAAAGGACATGAGGCCGATGGCCGGATGGTTATTCAAATTTCGCCTGCTCCAATGAGTAATAAGGCGACCGGTAACACCCCTCCGGGTGCAATCATCATAAGCACTACCAAAAAGTGCATTTACACATATAGGCGGCATGGTTCAACTCAGTGCCGCCTGACCTGAGTAATCTAGATTACCCTCCGAAATTATACGTCTTACCAACGAGGTACAAGACTGGAATGTATAATTGGATTGCAAACCCCCCCCCCCAGGCGGCCATCTGCCTCCTGTCTTATGATAGGTCAGGCGGCTCTTCGCCTTTTGTTAAGTTTCTTAGACGGCCTTTTTTCCGTTTGATAGAAATTTCGGAACGCCTGTTATATGTACGGCTGTGTACTTAGTTTGGGGCAATCACTGTTTTGATTGATTGACTTGCAAACATATCATGCTCTCTAAAGCATCAGACGTTTCCAAGCCAATCAATCGATTTTAAGGTGAAACCAACCACACAGCCACCGAGGGGCAAGAGCAGCTGGATTATTAACTATCGCATGCTTTTCATTAGTTAGGCAAAAACAAAAATATCAAGCATACTTGCAAAATTAAAAATGCAAAATTCAAGCAAAAAATGATCAAAACTGACTTAGTCGGCGCATCCATTAAAGAACTACCCAATCAAACGGTTGTTAACCGAACCCTGTTCGGGAAGTGAAATAAATATTCAAATTAACCCGGCTCCTTAGTCGTTAAAGACAACTAATACTCGGCACACAGGCCGGAAAGAAAGTAATTTGGCGTACAACCGTTGAATAAGAAAATATAAAAAATGGCATAATGCCGCAGAAAATCGCTGCTGAGCTGCAAAAGGGTCCACTTGATCATTATCCCCTTCATCTTCTTCATCAGAAGGAATCTCATGCACTTGACTTTGGACGGGGTGCCTAGGTTCCGGCAGCTTAGTGTTAGCCTAGGCGTCAAACGACTCCGGCTCTGGCTAGCCCTTCTCCCTCAAGAAAATAACCTCTTCAGCATATTTGTGAGCTATACTCCTTGTTTGGATACAAGGCATTCAAGGCAATCTTCATCCGGGCATCGTTATCAACCTCACTCTCGGCAACCAGGCGCTCTTGTTCCGCCTCCAGGGTTGCCTCAAAGTTCAGCTGCGCCTGGGCAGCCGCTTCCTCCAGCTCTTTGACCTTAGCCTTGAGGTCGGTGTTTTCTTGGGAGACCCCCTTGAGAGAGTCCAGTTCCGTCTTAGCCTTGCCAAGCTCCTCTTGAGCTTTTTTGAGCGCTGTCTCAGCATCGTCGGCTTTCTGCTTGTACGCCTCTAGGTCCTTCTCGAGCTGCTCAATCTTTGACGCCTGCGTCATTATTGTGGCTTGGGAAATTCTAAGCTGTGCCCTCCTATTTCCTCGATTTCTCAATTGTACCCACGATTTTACAAACTTACAAACTGTACCCTCCAATGAGCCAAAAAATATATTTGGTGGGGTCCATGGACATCATTAATGACGGTAGTTGTGACGGCATTTAATTTTGTCAAATCATTCCCCATTTTTCCTCTAAAAATAGAGTATAACATTTATTTCTTCATTATTCTCTCTGAATTGTACTCTGTTATAAGAACTCAAACAAAAAAAAAAAAACAAAAACCCTAAAAATTCGAAGATAAAAAATTTCCAGAATTGCGATTACCACTGAAGTCGAAGGTTAAAGGCGATTGCATAGAAGAATTTTGATCGGTGTTCATTGTTTGTTGAGGTATGTATTTGAATTACGCAATTTCGACAAAATGCATGAGTCTATACTGATAAAGTTTGGGTTTTTTAAAACACTTTGTTTGTTACGGTTATTGATTGTGTTATATAATTGTGGAAATAATTGTAGGGAAATTTAAATTCAAAAGTTGATATCTTTCTTGACCTGATGATGTGATTGATATTTAGTTTGTGTATATTAGGGTTGTATATAAATTTGTTGGGATGTTGAAAGGTGAATTGTTGTTTTGTTTATGTTGTGAGTGTTGAAGTATTTACAATTTGTTATAAATTTGTTTGCTTTTTGTTTTGGTGAGCAGAATGGCAGAGAGAATATTGAAAATCAGATATAGGGCTCATTGTGTAGATTTACCAATAGAGGATGTTGATTGTTGTTTGTTGATTGATGTGTTGAATGATGTCTGTGATGCTTATAATAACAATGGGTTTGAGCTTCCAACATATCCTAGCTTAAGTTACTGTATGGATCAGAAAAGTCATGCTTTGGTTGATGACAAAACCTTGATGAAAATGTTTGAGGTGAAAGAGGGGACAGAAATTGATGTATGGGTTGGTTGTTTAGATGAACCAAATTTTATTTGGACTTTGGCCCAGCAAGTAAAGAGCATGAGCAAACCTGCTGAAACCACAAACCCAAACCCATCCCCTGAACCTGCAATTGAGGCTCTTGTATCTCACCTAACTGCACAAACTCAACCTTTATATGAAGCCCCACAACAGAAACTTTCAATTAGAAGGGCAAATGGCTCAAGCCCAACATCACCTATTTCACCAAATTTAAGAAGAAGCCCAAGGTTTAGCCCAACACCACCTCTTTTTCCCCCAAGGCTTTGCCATTCACACTCTCCAAATCCAAAGCAGCTTACTCAGCCTAGAGTCCAGAGACTACCCAAATTACTAGAAGAAATACCCCACTCTCCACCACATATCAACCAAACACTTCAACCTCACATAACCCAAACCATTTCACCTACTGTAAACAAGAAGAGAGCAGTGAGGCTAAGTGTTCCTAGGCCCAGAAAGATTCCAAAAACTACTGCCAAACTTAAAGGTATTTGGGTTCCCCAAGTTAAGGACACAGTTGATGATGTTGCTGGTTCATCTAACACTGCTAGGCCTAAGAGGAAGGTTAATAGGCAAGTACAGGACAACCAAGAGGAGGAGTCTGAGACCTCAGGCAGTGATAGTGAGAGTGATTTTCAACCAGCAAGTGATGAGGAAGACAATGATGAGGGTGATTGTGATGATGTAATTGATGAAGATGTTAATGATTTGCAAAATTTGAGCTATGTTGATGATGGTTGGCAACCTTTTCAGTCAGTTGAATGGGATGGTGAAGATGAGGGTTAATTTAAGCAATTGTACATGAATGGGGAGGTGTATGATGACTATGATTTTGGGAAAATTAGGATGAGGAAATGGATGTTGTTTGTGAACAAGGACCACTTTAAGGATGCTCTGAGGGACTTCTGTATTCAAGAAGGTTTTTCACTTGTAGTAAGAAAGTCAGACAACTTCAGGTACACAGCCGAGTGTGCAGATGAAAAGTGTCAGTGGAGGATTCATGCAAGTAAACTGCCAGATGGTTTCACTTGGGCCATCAAATCTATAAGGCAACCTGGGCATAGCTGTGACTTGAATTTGACACATAATCCCATGTGCACATGTGACTGGGCAGCACATAGTTACTTGAGGACATCAGAGCTAGTCCTGATATTAAAGTTAAGTCCCTGAATGCCTTACTTCAAGAAAGGTATGGGTTGACAATGTGTTCCTCAACTGTCTACAGAATGAAGAAGATTGCAATAAGGATGATATAAGGAGGGCATGATGAGTCATATGCTCTGCTGCCTACTTACTGTGAGCGCCTAAAACAGAGAAATTCAAACTCTGTCGCATTTTGTACATGGGCAAGACTGGAATCACCACAACCTACACTACAGTTCAGATCTATTTTAATTAGTTTTGAAGCTCAATTTAAGGGTTTGATCAATGGTTGTAGAGGTTTAATTAGTGTTGATGGCACCCACCTCAAGGGTAACTATGGAGGGGTTTTATTGACAGTTGTGTGCCTAGATGGTAATATTGAAATATTCCTAATAGTTGTGGCTGTGGTGGACTCTGAGAACAAAACAAGTTGGAGTTGGTTTTTTCATCACCTCAAGCAAATTGTAACATCCACAGAAAGAAAAGATTGGACCATAATTTCAGACAGACAAAAGGTATGCCTTTGGTGTTCAAAATTCTTCAAAATTTGCTTGGTGTTGTTTTCATTTATTGTTTGCAGTTACTAACAACTGAAATTTGTGAATCCTAGGGTGTTGATCCATCCTTGGATAAGGTGTTGCCAAGGATTGAAAGAAGGTACTGTGCAAGACACTTGTGCAAAAATTTCAAGTCTGAATATCCTGGTCTCCTTATGCACAAGCTTTTCTAGGCAGTTACCAATGCAACCTCAATGTTCATCTTTCAGAAAGCTCTAACAAAAGTGCATGAATATGCTGGACTAGGGGCCATTAAGTGGTTCAAGGACTTAGACCACTAGACAGGTGGACAAAGTGGAGGTTTAACCCCACTGTGAGGAGTGATGAAAACACAAATAACTTTGTAGAAAGCTTTAACAACACCATAGGCACAGAAAGATGTATGCATGTGCTAACTCTTCTTGAAGGTAAGTTGGAAGATCATTAAAATCTGTTGCACTGTGTTTTTTTGTCAACGAAACTAATGTTAATTGTGTGTTTGGATATGTATAGGTGTAAGAAGAACTGCCATGGTTAGACATGCAACCAGGAAACAAATAGTAGAACAGTGGAAAGATGATGGAATCTGTCCGAACATAACAGAGAGGCTACGAGTTATTACCAAGCAATCCAGGACATGTACAGCCTTCAGTTTTGGCAGAGGTGAATTTGAAGTGCATGTTGGAAGGAGTGTAATTCCTGTCTCTATCAACAACAAGGAATGTGCTTGTGGAAAGTGGCAAATATAAGGTATCCCCTGTAAGCACGACATCGGGGCCATATTACATGATGGCAAACAACCAGCCATGTATGCCAGTTATTGGTATTCTGTTGCTAGATACAGGCAGACATATAGTGGGAACATTTCAGCCATTTCAGAACCTGGAAGATGGCCTGAGATTGATGCTCCCAAGCTCATTCCTCCTACAATCAAAAGGAGTATTGGAAGGCCATCCAGATATAGGAGAAGAGAACAAGGAGAGAAAAGGAAGGGAAAGAGGAGTGCTACAGTCCAATGCCAAAAATGCATGAGTTATGAACATAACACTCAAACTTGCAAGGGTGGTCCAACTACTTCAGAGAAGGGGAATACGCCAGCAAAAGAGAAGAAAAGGACTAGGGAGCATCCTACTAATGAGACAGAGGCAAATTCCATGATTGAGAAATTGGTGACACTGTCTTAGCCAGCTCCTGCCCAAGCATACCACCTGAGCTAGTACAGCTAACCTTCTGCAAGTCAGCTAGAACCATCAGCAAATCAGCCAGGACCATCAGCAAGGCAGCCTAGGGCATCAGCAAGCCAAACTAGTGCATCAACAAGCCAACCTAATCCCTCTGCCAGTTTAAGTCCCATAGCAAGGAAAATCATGAATAGGCTATCAATGCTTTAGCAAGATGTTTTTCAAAGTTGATAACTTTTTTGGTCTAAAAGTAGATGTTTGAACTTCATTTTGGTAGAAACAAACCTGAACAAATGCTTTGTAATGCTTTAATCATTTGCAAAGAGTTTGTATTTTGACAAAATTTCAACTGGAATCGTAATTTTTTTACTCTAATTACATTTATTTATATATATGTATGTATGTATATATATATATATATATATATATATATATATATATATATGTCCAGTTATATCATTGTTATATATGAGCAGGTATATGATTGAATAAATAAATATGAGCAGGTATATATATATATATGTCCATTAGATAGGAATTTGCAAGGGGAATCAATCATAATTGCATTAATCAATGATAAACTTACAACCATTTACCAAAATGCTACCTAATTCCACTATATACTTCCTCCAAACATAAATTGCATAGTTAACTATTTCTTCCTAATTCTAACCATTTTTCAGAAGCACGATAATAACTAACATCACATACATAAATAAACCTATTTTTAGTACAACCCTCAAGTAACAGGATAATTCCTTCAATTTTTCATTCATGCTTAATATCTGGACTCGAAGCTGCTCTAATTCATCATCTCCAACCTTACTTCCACGAACATCGCTTTCCAACAACCACTTGAAATACCCACAGTTGTTACACTTGAAGAAGCCTTTTCTTGAGTTACGATTAGTGGTAGAGGTCTTCAACTTCGCCACTTTGCTGGGATTGCAATAGCACCCAGGGCTGATGAATTCAAGAGAGCATTCTGAATTGGAAGAGAACGAATTCCTTGAGTGAGACATGTTTTACAGATTTGCAAAGGGAGGAGAGATTAATTGTCAAGGGAAATGAAGGGAGGAGAGATTAAATAGAAAACAGAGTGTTGCTGCATACCCTAGACAACCTCCTAATTTAGGAGGGAAAGCTTCCCATTGTTATTAAACCACCT